CCATTTTTGTGTCAACTAGTTAACTAGTGAAGGTCAAAATGTGTTCACTAGTTAACTAGCGTGTACAGTTTGACCCTCACTAGTTAACTAGTTGACCTGTTGACAAGATATCAGAATTAATGCTCAAGCGGCTGGCCAAATTGGGCAAAGTTAACAAGTGGGATTTTTACATTCAGTAGTCAGCTAGTACGAGTTTTTGTACCTTACTAGTTGACTAGTAAAAACTAAATGTGTTTTAACTAGTTAACTAGTGGACATTGATCTGTCCACTAGTTAACTAGTGAACACACTGAGCAATACTAGTTAACTAGTAAGATATGAAACATTTTAACTAGTTAACTAGAGAGAATTTAGGCCTTACTAGTTAACTAGTTGACATTTAGGCTGTCACTATTTAACTAGTTGACACAAACATGGCTAACTAGTTAACTAGTGGACAGAAATGGCTTACATGTTCATGACAATTCTGGCTGATATCCTGATATCAGAATAAATGCTCATTTGGCTTGCCATATGCATCAGCATCTCCGTATTGGCCTGAGAGAGAATGGGGCGGACTCTGGCGATGTTCTTTAGATGATAAAAACCTATTTTGGTGATATTTTTAATATGATGGATAAAAGTCAGCTCAGGGTCAGAGATGACACCCATGTCCTAATACATGTCCCTTTGCTCCCAGTAATGTGTGCATGAAAACTAACCCTACATGTCTTTAATTGCCTTTAAAAGGTGCTAAATCATCCCACCATTTTCAAAGGATGTTTTTGCTTAAGTTCAGTAATTTGATCTTCCAATCATTTCTGTGGGCTTTTCAGTATTGTATTTGTCTGTGCTTTTTACTCATTCTCCATTGTACAAAAACAGGCTTTAATATCTTGCCACGCTTAATTTTTACAATTTCCACTTCATGCTTCAAACAGCACAAGTCTGCAAGTTGCACTTTCAACCCTTATTTTGTTTGTATCAAGACCTGCTTTGTATATTTTCATTTTAACTTAAGGAAAGTAAGACATCAGACGTTGAATATGAATCATTACCACTTCTTCTAATCATAACACCATATAAATGATTTATTTCATAAACAAGAAATTCAGTACATAAATAGGAAACATCTCAGTTTTATTTAAAGATTAAATATTATTTAGGAAAGTAAGATAGCATAAACAAACATCTCTAAGAAGAGATGTACGGAGAGATTTGTCAACATAAATGTTGTTCCAGGTTTTAGGAGCACAAATATGAGTTCAATTTAGGAAACACTTTTTAAACTTTTCTTATCAAATGCAGCCAGTATGAAATAATTATATAAATGGTCTGCATTTGTATAGCGCCTCCTAGGGGTTCTACAACCCCCCAAGGTGCTTCACAACACAATCAGTCAACCTCACATTCACACATTGGTGGTGATGAGCTACATTGCAACCACAGCTGCCCTGAGGTGCACTGACAGAGATGAGGCCTGCCATACACTGGCACCACCGGCCCCTCCGACCACCACCAGCAGGAAAGGTGGATTTAGTGTCTTGCCCAAGGACACGACAGCAGCATTCCCTGGCAGGAGCCGGGATCGAACTTACAACCTTCCTGGACAATCCGCTCTACCTCCAAAGCTACTGCTGTCCCACTTATGAAACAAAAGTAGTTGGCTTTCACCTTTTGATATAAATGTTTCAGATCAGTAAACTAGATTCAAGAATGGACAAAGATGGGTGAAACAAAGACCTAATTTCTAATGATTTTGCCTTTAGATAAATAAAAGAATCAAACACAACCTAACCCTGTGTGAAAAAGTACCTGACCTAAACGTAAAGATGTAGTTCCCAATAAACCATTTTCTGTTTGTTATTTTTTAAAATATGATTGTTCATTTTGAGTTTTAAATGCAGGCTAAATGTGAAACAAGTCTTCTACCCTTATTTCCTGCATTAGCCAGCAATAGAAAATAGATGTGGCTACGCTCAGGTCAGAGAAGCCAGTCAGATCTAAGTCAAACTGTAGATTACCATTAATGGACATGATGGGGAAGTTGTTTTTGATTTAGCATCCTGGAGAGAGCAGAGCACACCTCGGCTAGTACAAGCTAACCATTAGCATTAGCAACTCTACCACACAGCAGAACTCCTTCAGGATTGTTTCATTTGTGGAGATAAAACATGAAAGTCGCAGAGTAAACTGCTGTAAGTCAGTCAGAGGAGATATGACCGAATATCAGGAAATAAGAATCCAAATCCTGTCGTGTTCTGCTCTCCTCTCCTCCAGCTAACTTCTACTCCCTGAAACCGGAGCGCCAGAGCTTTTTTTCCAAAGAGATTGACTCACAAGGCATTCATATCTACTACAGTAGAGACCACTGCAACGGCCAGGGGAACGAACATTAAATTCAGAATTACAGAAAGGCATTCCGGTTCTGAAACAGCAGTAGGTCTGAGTGTGACCACTGAAACTAAACTCATCTTTGCATAATAACAGGTTAATCACAGTTATTTCATGACTTAAGAAGGGGCAGGCAGGTTTGGATAGCTTCCTCCCCTTAATAAATTAAATCATCACTTGAAAATTGCATCTTGTACATCTTTGTCTAATAGCTAAATTAGTTTGCTGATTTAAACTGTAGCTGGGAACGTGCAATTTTGGCGTTTTCTTACTAGTATCCAATATATCAATGTAGTACAACTCTCACTTTCCAATATAGAAGTAAACTGAAATATGTGGGGTCTCCCTTCATTAAGGAAAAAAGAAAAACTAAGCAATTGTTGGTAACTACCATCACTCTGTTAATCAACTCTGGTTAAAAACTAAACCTCAGATCAATCATATTTTTGATGTATGATAATATACTTTATAAATTTGTGACATTAAAAGATTATAAACCAAAACCGATCATTTGCGATACATTTTAATGCCGATATTGGCCAACAATGTCAGACATTCCTTCAAGAAACTGCAGAAACCTGAGGGGATGAATGCATTTGAAAGAACAGGAGGTGGAAGAAATGAAACGTGAAGAATTAATCAGCAGAAAACATCAGAACACAAAGTGTCTCTCAAACAAACCTGTGCTTTTGTATTGTGGCAGTGCGTTTGTCCAAGCCTGCTTAGCATGTGTAAATACAGAAAATCAAATTTTATCACCTGCAGCGATTGATCAACAAAAACAATATTTGCTTGTCCCACCATCTGAGGGCCATAGATCCTGCTCCGTTTATGAAGCCGGTTACAGAACGTAAAGCACAGCCTCATTTGTGATTGTACGGATCAATTAAATTTGATCGAGAAGCAATGAGTTGAAGAAAGAACACAAACATCTATTTGTCTGATTGAGTGTGCGCTGGGGTAGGACGTTTATGTTAGCCTGCAGTAGCTCCGATCAAAAACATTAGCATCTTAAAAATGCTTCGCCAGCAGCTGAGAAGCACTCGGAGAAAGATTGACTCAGGGCACGACAGAGACTTGGCTCGGCCCTATTGTGCTAGCTCAGAGAATGAGAAAGCGGCGTCCATTTTTGCCTTAATGAAGTTACTGACCCTCTGAAAGGTGACACGTTTACCACCCAGGGGATTTATACACTCCCGTTCCGTGGCTTCAGTTCAATATGGAGCGGACAGATTTGACTCTGCAGGGGCCTTCCAAATATACCCTCACAATTTATACCATGTGATTCGCTTTCAGACGCTGCTCGCATAATTAAAGCTGATGCACGGATATTCAATCACAAACTTCAGAGCACACATTTGAACGAAAGTTGTTCACTGGACCATTCTGTGTCCCTTTTTGTTGTTCTGAAGAAGAGGTGTTATTAAGATAATCAGAATATTTGTTATAATCAGAAGTTTTTCCTGACATCTGTGGAGAAACAAGCAGATCAGATCAACCAGTTGTGTGGAGAAAACCATTCAGACTGAGTATTACAGTGTTAATTGCTTAATTATTCATAACAGCTTTACTTGTGCAAATACGCTAAATAATTTCTACATGACAGCTTGAAGCTGAGGCCTAAAGGAGCGATGTGATGTTTGAATGAAGACCTCTCTTTCCTTTGCATGGCCTAGGAAACATAACACCGCGGGCCCTGGGTTGCCTTGGTGCATACTGTTTTACATTCTAATTATCTGCCATGACAGGCTTTATTGCTGAGGCACTACGCCGAGGCCTCATCCCAGGCTCATTCCACATGTGATGTCAATGTTGGGATAATGAGATAAGATAGTTTCAGTCCTTAGCCTTGCTCACTTACATCTTCATTTGGCTTTCAGCTTTTTTTCTTTCTTTTCATGCAGGAAACACGAGAGCTGCTACATTGACTGTACCTCCAAATCTTCCTATATCTGCTTCCTCTTGTGTATCTTTCCTCATTTAATTCACATTTTCTGGCATTATTGTACTAATTTATTTGTATGTTTGCCAATCTATCGATCTATTTCCTACATCACAAGACAACGACCCCCCCTTCCCAATTTCTTGGTATGTTCTTGTTTCACCAAATGTATTTAGAGTTCTGAGAAATCAAAAGGGCACTGACAGTGATTAAAATAAACATTGCTCTGTTAAAGATGTTCATTAAATATTTAACTCGGTACAGCCAATCTGAGCCACAAACAGCGAGACATAATTTTTCTAACTAATTAAGCTACAGGGAATTTGTTGCATATTGTAGGTAAACAGAGAGAGTCGAGGGAATACCAATGGGAAATTAAATGCTCTGCTAGTGTTTTTCTCATTACAAGATGAAATGAAACATTTATAACTGACTTTCATCCCTCCAAAAGGCTGACATTTTGTGGGTCAGCCTCTGATGCAACGACAACTTTTTTTCTATTTATATTAAGATTCATGAGTTCATTCTTTGACTTCACCTCTCTAAAAATCGTTGTATTCTAAATGAACTTCATTCATTCTAACTTATTATATTAACTCTCTCGCTCTCTCTCTCTCTCTCTCTCTCTCTCTCTCTCTCTCTCTCCCTCTCTCTCTCTCTCCCTCTCTCTCTCTCATGTGAACAGCCATTGAAGTGAACCTGCAGAAAGCCCTGGCCGAAGCCTCAGAGACCTGCACCCAGGAGTGCCTGATACTGGGCCACTCCGACAGCTGCTGGATGCCCCCAAGCTTGGCCCACTTCCAGAGTCCTGGCAGCAACAGCCCCGCCTCCACCCCTACCAACACCACCATCACCGCTGCTCTCCCCTCCTTTGGCTTTCAGCAGAGCTGCATCCAGGGAGTGAAAGCTAACATGTGCGGCATGGGGGTCATGGATGGCCGCCACACGCTGGGCAGGTCTGTGCCCAAAAAAGATGAACTGGACAAAGGGTTCATCCGGCCACAGTTCTACAACACCCTGGACAGACACTGCAGCAGTAAGAAGGAGGACCCGGTCAAGGTCATCCCGCTGGCAAGCTTCTCCTCGCCCGGGCAGCACACACCCACCGGTGGTGGCAGTAGCTCGTTCTTACACGAGCACCAGCTGTAATTCCAAAAGACAGCTCTCCATTGGCCTAAAGTCAATATTCTCCATCCATACATGGCTAATAGTTGTGTGTACGTGTGGGGGGGTGCATAATTTGTTATCAGCTTCAGCTCAGATGTGTCGATGAAGACACCTTAGAGGGAACAAGACAACAACTAAATCAAAATAAATCAGTGTGACGACGTCAGCATTCGAAAGGAAACCCATCAGACCTGTGTATGATAAAGGAAAAGTAGTTCTATACCAAAGTAGATGCCAGAGAAAAAATAAATAAAAACACTTTACGCTTGGTGATGCTCACTTAGTGATGAGAAAAGGGCACTGTACACTTTAAGCTTAATGGGCCTAGCTTACCAAGACTGTATTCTTGAAGAACATTTCCTGGCACAGAAACAAATGCAAATGCAGTACGTTGTGTTATAATTGAGCTAAATTGGTCTAAATGTTAATTACGAGCTCTGGGCTGGTGCTGTTTCTGTTCAAGTTCTAGTGAAGTATTGCTCTGTATTACAAGTGTACCATACTCCTTTGGCAGTGAAAGATGCTTTCGCCTGAACGTGCTTCAGAAGTCTATTTTTGGTCAGGGGGACTGCAGAAGGGTTAAAAAAAATAAATAAAGTAAAAACACACTACAAAGCAAAACCAGGCCAATAGTCAACAGCAACACATCTTCATCTCTGTCTTTTTTTTTTTGCACTCTATATATTCAACATGGACCAGCACACTGAATAAATTCCCCAAATACCCCAAACCCTCCTGCACACATGCATACTCATGATGTTTTCCATATGGTGATTGCTCAAACTCTGCCAACTCTATTAAAAAAATCTTCCATCGTTTGCATTATCTCAGCAGCTTAGCCTTGAAAGACACATGCAGATGTGTTGGGAAATATTTTTGGCCTTTTCTCTCTTTTTTTTATAATTTCCAATTTTTTGCTCTGAAAACCTTCAAAGAACAACAAGTTTGGAGCCAATTATGAAGTAAATCTCTAGGAATTTGCTGTGATGTGCGATTTTAGCCGCTAACCCTAACAACTCTGGACTGATTCTAATAATAATATAGATTGTGCTTAAAAAACTCATGGAAAAGTCGACACATTTTATTATATACTTTTTGTGTTCCTATAATCTGATTAACACGTCTGTTCCAGTTTTTATTTTTATTCTGAGCTTTAAAAAAACAAAAAACAAACAAAAAAAAAACGAATTGTGCCGTTTTGTCAGGTTTTGTTTATTATGTGCTGGCTCTAGAATAAAAGACTGGGCTTCTGTAATTTCTGCAGAATTATTTTTATTTTTGCAGCAATCATTAAAACAAACAATAGGCACGACTGTCCTTCATGATTCCACAGCAAAACAGCATCACTGCCTGAATGTGCAAAAACTCTTCCTCATACCAACTTGCTGTTGTAACAGATCTGGTGCAGTATAATGTATTGCAACAACAATAGGTGACTTTGCTGATATCCATTTTTATGTTACATCTAAGCCAGGTGTCTACATCATCAGGTATATGAGTCATGAGATTCGTTTTCATGTAGCATCGTGCAAATTGGGAGCGGGCCTAGATCTATAATGCAATGCGGTATTCTCGGGGGATGGCACGAGGTAAATTGTGTTTGCATGCACTTAGCTTTCCCTCCAATGATGCCCCTTAACAACATAAAGGGGATTTATCTGATATTCATGCAAAATTATCTTTTAAGGGAATGCTGTTGTCAAGGACAAAAAGAGGGCAGCTCAATTCCACCTCTGTCACTTACAAAAATGAAGCGGATTCAAAATAGGCAACTTAAATAAACCCTCCTATAAACATCCATTTAATGAAAGTGTTCCTGTTTGAAAATCTAATTTCAGCTCATTTATTATAACTTTTAAACCCCCCCACCCACCCCCCACCCCCCCATCACCACCACCACCCGCCTCTCTCGTTCTCTTCTACTTGTCATCTCTTTTCATTGTTTTAGGACATGAAATGGCATCCACAATACATTTTTAATCAAAAGGAGCACATATCAAAGGGAACATACATCACGTTGTCAGTGAAAATTAGAATTTCATCACTTTGCCAAATGCAGATTCCACTCCTCATATCCGACACTCATATTATGTGATCCTGCAGGTGACACAAAGTCCTCATAATTATTTAAAGTTTCTTTCTACAGTCAAAAAAGCAGAGGAGAAAAATGTGTTAAATATTCCCAACAAAGATAAAACTCAGATATTACAAATTTGTTTTTTAAATAAACATCTGACATACTAGCAGCAGATATATAAAAGTGTTTTGTCAATAGGACTTAAAATATTCTGTTTCATATCACAAAACTGAAATTATATATGGAATATGTACAGGATGACACGTTGTGACCTAAAAAAGATTGTTTAGAATGTTCTATCCAATCACAAGTGTACAGTGAGCACAGTTGATCTGTCTGTAACCCTCTTTAGTTTTTCAACATAACTCTTTTGTTTCAGACGACTAAGAGGGAATAGTAAAAAACTGTGTGAATGTAACATGTGGCTTTTGGTGTAAAGATCTTATGTTTTTATTATTTTCCTAAAAACTTGGTTTGAACTATGTTCTATCATATCCTTTCTGAGCTAAACTTTAACTTTTGTGTTATTTATAAATTTTCTGATAAAACAACATCATTTGAATGTTCTACAGTATTATTTTTGTTGTATTAAGCCTGTTTCTCTCTGAGCTGAGACAATTGGCAACAAATTGCAGATGGGATTTGCAGAGAAGTTTCCATATTATCTCAGAAAGTTTGAAAGAGTTCTCAATTTCTTTTCTCTTTTGTTGCTAGAATTAGGAGAAATTAGGAAGACAAATTTAGCGCCGGGATAACCGCCGAGCGGACATTGGTCTGTCTCAGATGAGTGGCCATAAATAGCGCTTGAAACACGAGACAATTTTGGAAGGGCCGACTCACTGGAGATAAAAACAAACCCGACATTCCCAGCGCACCAAAATTGTGAGTAAAATAAGGAGAAATAATGAACAAATATGCATGAATGTGGTGCAGTTTATTCAAAATTTTGACCTGCACGTTGTGTCACACAAACCAATTCAGTGTGATTGAAACAAAAAGTACACAAGTCAGTGTGTGTACATGCAGATCTAAGTCGATCTAGGTCCATCTAAAATAACAAACTGGATGTCGCTATCCTAGTTTACATGTACGTACATTGGATAATTGAACCCTCGAAGTCTGTTCCACTCCTGGGGACATGCACCCTTTTGTGTTGACATTCTTCTGGATAGCTTATAGCAACACTGATGGTAAAAAAACACTAGCAAGAGTGAAGCAGACAAAGTTAAGACAGGTCATGCACAATAGCTGAAGGAATGGACAACAACAAGGCTGCAGCACAGCTTGTTTGGTATGTACTGTACTGTTTGATAGTGTTACACGTGTTACTTTGTGGCAATCAGAAGTCTGCCTCCACAGTCTTTTCACTTCCCGTCTCTAAACTGATCCGTTTTCATGCAGATGCAGTCGTTTTCCTACTGCATTATCTGTTCACTTCAGCACAATTAGAACCAGTTTGCCTTCAGCAAGACTAATGCATTTACATGCATAAAAACAACAACAACATCAGACTATTTAAGGCAATAGTTTGATTTTCTGATGTGCATGTAAACACACTGAATGTTTAGTTTTCAACTAAACACAGCCCAGAGAAAAACTGGCCTACAGTACGTAAGAAGACCAAATCACACGGTCACGTTTTCATGTAAACCTCTTGGGTTTTGCTGCACCACATCGAAGAAGTGTGGCAGAAATTTAACAGATAATTAAACATTTGTGTTTTATTTGCAACTTTTTATTTTTTTCTATTGTCAAAAACAGTGCAATGATCACTATGTCAACTCAGTGTCATACCTTTTTGCATGAACTGTTTGGACCTCGATGGGACATTCTTATTCCGGGCTGTGTGCTTCACACATTCCACAAATAGGTGTCAGTGTTGAAATCTTCTCCTCTTCATGGAAGCAGTGTACACATTCAAGCATTGTGACGTGTCCAAGCACTTATACCTCTACACATAAACACTTCATCGGGTGATTCTGTATTTCCAGCTGTACATAGCAGTACCCCTATGTAATGGTGACAATGGTCAAAGCTTGAAAGACACCGCGTGAAGACTGAGTTCTGGATTTCACTAAGATCCCAACGAGCAAAAAGGGAAAACATGAAAAGTGATGAGATGACAATCTCTGTTAATGTAAATGAAACATATGCATAATAATGATGAGCGTGCGTTTGGATGTGTTTATAAGTGATCTTGTAAATGTGCAAGAGAGAACGCTAAAGTTTCTCCTTGCATGAGTGTGTGTGTGTGTGTGTGTGTGTGTGTGTGTGTGTGTGTGTGTGTGTGTGTGTGTGTGTGTGTGTGTGAGAGAGAGAGAGAGAGAGTGTGTGTGTGTGCTGGCATGCACCATGCCAGATGACTTTCTGTACACAAATGTATCTTGTACAAATAATATTAAAAAATATGATAGAAGATTTAGGTAAATGCTTGTAAATTAGTCATCAGTGAACCAAGTTTGCTTTGAAACGAGGCTTCAGTGCTTGCCAGCAAATCTGTATTAAAGCTATACAGTCTGTGTTGTCATGCCTTGTAAGATATCCCACTTGATGAACAAAGACCTTCCATATGGTAAAATGATTTTTCATGTCACTGATTTTAATTGAACCATTAAATATTGAGACCTCAGTGAGCACTGATTGTGTCTAACTTTGTATTGTTTTGTTTTATTTACACGATAAATGAAATGCGAAGGTGTTCTGTCACTATTTGCCAATGATAAAAAAACCACTTTTCCGATAACCTCTATTCTGTTTTGTTCTATTTCTGACAAAAACGAGTTAATGAAATAAAGAAATAAACATTTTCAAATCTCTGAAGACAGTGCATAAATGTTTAAAGGTGTGGAACACTGAAAACCTATTTTTAATGATTATTTCTGATTACAATCAGGCTGAACATGAGAATAGTCTCCTATACCTATCTCCTGCATTAGCAGTCGGTAAACTCTCAGTTCAGAAAAGCCTGACAGATCTACATCATGCTGCTACTTAACATTCATGAACTCACCCATCTTGACTCACGACCGGGAAGGCTGTTGTTGTGTTAGCATCCAGGAAACTGCAGAGAAGCTAACCATTAGCATTAGCAACACCACACAGCAGAAGCTCCTCCAGGTTTGTGTTATCTGTGGAGATAAAACATCAGCGTTGCTAGTCAGTGGTTGAGTCATGTTGCTGTTATCCAGTTATCGGCGAGATGTCCAAATATAAGGAAATAAGACTCCAAAACCTGCCGTCTGAAGCTCAGCTGTGATGTGGGCAACTTCTAGTTCCTGGAAATGGTGCACTGGTATATTTTTCCCCCAGTTACAACTAACAAGGCATTAATTTCTACTAGAGACCACTGCAAATGAATTTCCCACACCTTTAAAGGTAGAATAAGGAACCCGAACACCAAGCATCTAGTGTGTGGAGGTTGCACCAATAGAACAAGGCTTCCAGCCGCCGTGATACCAGGTTTGCTGCCGATACATGAAATGTTTTATTTGGGTCCTTCTGCTGTAGGCTTCACCTAAACTCACTCTGGTTTTAGGTCTTTTATGGTTGCTTCTCTTCTGAGAAGAAGAATGACACCTTTTGGGCTCAGAAGCAGCTGCTTGACTTGCAGAGTCCGCCATTTTCCACAGTGCCAGCCACACTGTGCCGAGCGGACTGTTTGGAGTCGATGAGGATTTGCTCGCTTCTGACACCGGCCCCCAGCGGATGAGGGTGGAACTGCAATTGATTTCACTTCCGCATTGGCTTCAATTTCAGACCTGCATTGTGGGGGCTTGGGCCAACCTAAATGACTGAGAATTTGCAAGGTCCCCAACATTCCTCCACTCCACATTCCATTTACAAATGAAAGGCAGCTAATTGTCAATGATTGAGTTGTGATTTTCAAACCAAGGAGCCATTTGACTACCTCTGGTAGAGCTGAGGGGGTCAGAAAATCCTGGTAGTTCTAGTGTTAAATGTTGAATATGGAACAATTTAATAATATTTAAAAAAATTATACTTCCACAGAGGTATTTAGAGTGTTGCAGAATGAAAGTACAGTATTTAATAAAATAAAAAAAAATGTAATAGTTATTTTGACGGGCATGACATTGAGTGCATGTTTACATCTGCCAGCCAATAGAGGGCACCATTGTAGGTTGCCCATGTTAAAAATACCAATTTCACAGCAAAAATAAACATATTTACAGCCTGGTTCCAAAACATGTTTTTGGTTTAAATGATCTAGTTTATATCATGACAACTCTGAGGGGGGTGATTTATTTATTTATTTTTTTGCCATTCTTCTGTTTAAGTGTATTAAATGCCTAAAATTCTGTATAACTGATGAGCATCAGACCCACGTGACCACAGAGCTAGCTCCGTGGAAAGGCCTCAGTCTGAGCCTCGGTCTGGCCTGAAAACTGTTCCACGATTTTTAGTCTCTGAACTTAGACCATTAGTTGTAGCGTTTGTGCGTTCTTTTTTGGATATTATTTGTGCAATTGTTGGACAAAATGACTTGCTGTGGTATTAATTGCACTAAGAGAGTGTCCTAGGAGTCTCCACTTAATTTTTTTTCGATAAGTAAAATTATATTCATGTATTTTAGGTCACCGCCGCTTTTGCACTAGTTGAGCTTATCAAAGTAGCTAGCTAACTACCATTTTAACATGTACTTTTTAACCATGAAATTTAGATGTAATACGGTAAAATAATTTGTTGAGGGTCTGACCTCATGAGGAAATTACTATGCAGTGATTTTCTCCAAAATGACTGTGCTTAAATTGCTCTGAAAAGCAAATAACCACATCAGCGCCAAGAAACTTCATTTCCCATGATGCTTTGCACACGGAAGCATTGGGATGATGTCACCGCCTAATACCAGAAACACGTTCTGCGCATGTGCGGGAGGCCGTGGAGCTTTTCCCGCGAACTAAGACCATAAATCTTCAGCAGAGACAAAGAAACCTCGTTCTTTTGCCCAGGATACCTGGCGGTAAGGACACGCTTGTCGAACGCTCCGACAACTTGAGCACGCGGAAGCTCTAAGTGCCCAAGTTGAGCCACGAAACCGCTACAAAGCCACTCGAACTCCATCAGGACCTGACTGGAAACGAGCGGAGCTCCATCCAGCTCTCAGAGACGCTGTAAGTTGTCAAACTCAGCACAAAAGAAACTTCGTTCTCTTTGTGTCCAGCCCGTGGAGAAACACTCGTGGAGGTAAACAACGGAGAAAGCATCAAACCGACGGATGACGCCAAACTGCGGAGAAACACGGAGAACCGTCAAATCAAAACAGTGAGGGACGCTTCACTGTTCTGGTGATCAGAAAACTCATTTCTCTCTCTCCTTTTCTTCTCCCGTTTCCTCTATAGTCCAGAATAAGCAATAAAACCGCGCTATTGCTTAAAAAGTAGCTTCGTGTTTTCCTCTTTCGTTCCCAAAACACGTCCGCCGGGTCATTTTGAATAAATAAACTGCTTATTGATCATTGTTTGGTATCTTTAAATGTTTTCTGCTTGGCCACGTGGTTAAACTAAAAGATATTATTCGTGATTAATCCTTTGTGTTGTTTCATGATCCTTTGAAATGTTTTGAGTGAATTTAAGGTTAAGTTACTGATGATTCTAAGTGCCTTGGAAGTTAAAGTGCAAGTTGCCACTCACACTTTAGCCAGACAAAGGGGTCAGCCATCTTGCATACAGACTCCATTTTAGAAACACACACACACATACATACACACAAAACACCTTGAACATTATTTTGAATATACATCCTTTTATTATATCACATGGTTATTATTCATTTATGCCACTGTTTATTCATTTGACAAATTGTTAATTAAACGTTATAAAATTCAGATTTTCGTCTCCAGTAGCTTTGTTGTGTCGAAGAGAAGTCTCTGCTCCAAGGATTCTACGAACTTCAAGAAAGACTGATAAGAGTTTTGGATTCAATTTTTCCCGGTTAAAGGGGAATGGTGCCCCGTATATCTAAGAATATCTTAATTAATTAATAAATCAGTAAATAGTCCCATATTTACAGAATTTATTGAAGAATCCAAAAGTAAGTTAAAGCTTACGAATTGTTCGCTCCTAATAACCCCAACATTAATTGGTGCAGCCCGTGTGAGGCTTGGATACACAGAGATTTCTATCCGGCACAAACAAACAAATAAATCCTAAGAGCTTGAATTAAAAATAATCAGTTGTTCAGCCTTGAACCAGCAACAGAGTGGTGCTGATTTCGCTGAGCAGGAAGCTGCATCGAACTCTCACCAGTAACTCAGTGCTTCTTTAAAGGTGCAACGTGTAAATTAATTCTGGTTGACCTTTTAGGTTAAAAATTCAGTTTTTCTTTAAAGGTGCAACGTGTGATTAATTCTGGCTAACCTTTTAGGTTAAAATTCAGCTTTTCCTTAAAGGTGCAACGTGTAATTAATTCTGGCTAACCTTTTAGGTTAAAATTCAGTTTTTCCTTAAAGGTGCAACGTGTAATTAATTCTGGTTAACCTTTTAGGTTAAAATTCAGTTCTTCATTAAAGGTGCAGTATGTAAGTAATTCTGACTAACCCTTTTAGGCTAAAATTAACTGCTAATTTAGCGACTTTAACTCACAGTGGCTATTGTAACTAACTGAAACCTTCACTCAAAGACTGATAACACCCTGTTTGCTAATATTCTGAAGGAATAACTAGCATATTTAACACCACAAGTGTTGTAAGACGTTGCTACGTTAACGCACCAGCTTTTGCTAAAATACTGAAAGGAAGAGTATTTTAAGCGTCAGTCACGGCATTCCGTGCAATCTTAAAACGCTAAAACCTGTGCGCACAAAGGTTAATTTAGTGTTTTCTGCTACAAAGCTAGTAGTTTGCTGCCAAAAGGTGCAGTTTTGAGCTATCTGCAGAAGCTCTACTAGGCTATTTTTGGTTCGGTTGTTAAATGGAGGGACAGAGTAGTGAACTGACCAACTCCCAGCAACCAGGTGGCGCTGCGGCCCACGACTATGAACCTGGCCTACTTTCTGGACAAATATTGTCCAAACTGGTCGCGGTTGCTCGAGAACCCGACTACCCTTCTAGGGATTTCACTGAAGAACAGCGTAGCGTCGAGCTAGAAGCTGTAATTGATCAAATAGAAAACCCGGATGGTACAAAACCAATCCAGGTTCACTTAGCTAAGTTAGCCCTGATCCTCTATCAGAGAGGACTCCAACGTGGTCAGAAGATCATGAACCTCCAGAGTATGCTAGCTGAAAAACAGCGAAATGAAAGGCTGATCGAGGAAGACAACACCGATTCTGGGGAAGATGGGGAGAAGACCCCGCCCCCCTCTGCTGATGACAACAGACAGTGGGAAGGGGGAAAACACCGTGACTCTCTGGACGGACGCACGCCGCAGGGGAGAGATGAAGCTTATCTGTCCCAACCTTCGGCCCCGTTCCCTACACACACTCTAGGGCATTCAGGACCACCTAGGGGCCGAGGGCAGTTCGCCCTCGAACCCCAGGTTGGACCACCACCCTCATCTTCACGGCCTTCTCAATCAGTGAGAAGTCGACCAGCTGAGCGGCATCTCTATTTAGACCGCTCCCCCAGTCCACGAAGGGTGCAAGGTGCCGGCTGGGGTTATGCACAAGCCCAAC